CTTTCTCGGCTAAGACATTCCTGTTTCCTTACTTAGAAAGTGAGGCAGAAGCACTTTCATTGCAGGGTTATTCTTTGTCACTAAATGAATGACTGAATGCTCGTCACTTACAACTGTTGGCACAAGGAAAGTGACAACTGGCTAGTTAGGTGTTATTTGTAATCCAGAACGTCATTATGTGTATGTGTGTGGGTGTGTGTACATGTATTAGTCTCTTCGTGTGTTTGTATGTATGCTTGCAAAAGAAGAAAGAAGACACTGAGTCCCCTGGAACTGGAGTTACAGGCAGTTGTGAGAAATACCACATGGGTGATGGGAACCAAGCTCATTTTGCAAAAGCAACCAGCACTGTTTTTTATTTGTTTGGACTCACAGAGAGATCCCTCTGCCTCCTGAGTTCTTGGATTGAAGGTATGCAACACCATGCCAGGGGGCCACAGCACTCTGAGCCACTGATGTGTCTTTCCAGCCCCAGATTTTGTTTGTTTGTTTGTTTGTCCTTACTTATCAGGTGGCCCTGGAGATGACCCAGCCTTGTGTATGCTAGGCAAATGCTCCACTATTGATTTACATCCGCAGCTCTTTGTATTTTTTACTTTAAAGACAGGGTCTCACTATATTGTCCAGGCTGGTCTTAAACTCATTGGGTAGCCCAAGCTACCCCCAAACTTCTGATCCTCTTGCTTCAGCCTCCCAAGAAGCTGGTATTATAGGTCTGTGACATCAGACCCAGGGTATCTTTTATTAGCTTAATTCTGATTTTTATTACAGTAAATGCAAGATGATTATATTAGGCTATGTATCAGTGATGCTGCCAGAATGCACGGAAGGATGTAGTTTGACATTGCTAAGGTATTTTCAAACATATATTTAATTACTAAATATAAATACACAATGTAAGGATTCAGGCATTATGCTGGCCTGCCCCTGTCACCGGCAGAATGCCGTTCAGGCAATACCCTGGTCAGCCCAGGGTTCTATGGCTACTAGTCTGCATGTAGATGCAAAGGACCCCTTTAAAAGACAGACCACTGCAGCCGGGGGATAGTGGCACAGGCCTTTAATCCCAGTACTCGGGAGGCAGAGGCAGGCGGATCTCTGTGAGTTTGAGGCCAGCCTGGTCTTCAAAGAGAGTTCCAAAACAGTCTACAAAACCTACAGAGAAACCCTGTCTCGAAAAACCAAAAAAAAAAAAACAAACCCAAAAACTGGTGAGTCAAAAGACAGACCACTGCCCACTTACTCTCTCTTTCCTGCTGTTCCCCTGGGGCAGACGGGACTTTTCCTGTCTCCCTCTTCTCTTCTGTCTTCTGTCTCTCTGTCTTTGTGTCTCTTTACCTCTTTTCTCTTTCCTTATATCCCTTTCCCTCTCTAATAAAACTCACTTAAGCTCTGTCTGCCTGGCATGTTTGTTCCCTGCCTTGGTGACCCTCACCTGCCATGGGATCCGCCAACGTTCCCGTCTTGCTTTATCATAACACATAATACTTACTAAAAAAAAAAGGACAAGCTGAGTTTTAAAGAAAAGATTTTGGTCATTAGTGGTCATGGAGGATTAAGAATTGTCACAGACTCTTTGCAACTACACTGACGAAGGAGTTTATTTTTATTATTTGCGTGTGTGTGTGTGTGTGTGTGTGTGTGTGTGTGTGTGTGTGTACACACGCACACGGACCTCTAACTCCTAACTCATATGATCAGACTTGGGTAGCAAATGCTTTTACTGGCTGAACTATCTTGTCAGCCCCAAAGGTGGCATTAATGACTCCTTGAATATGGGTTATTCTGTGTATTTGCTACTTTTCTGTTGTTATGGTAAAATACCATGACTAAAGGCGACTTAAGGAAGAAAGGGCTTATTTGAGCTTGTGGTTTCTGTGAAATATGAGTCCATTGTGATGTGGAGTTATGGCAACAGGAGCAGGGAAATGAGAGATCATACCTCAGCTGACAGAAATGAAGCAGAGAGAGTGAACTGCAAGTGAACGAGACTATGAACTCTAAAAAAAAGCCCACCCCCAATGAGAAGCTTCCTCTGGGGAAGCTGTACCACCCCCCCCCCCAGACAGGGTCATCGCCTGGAGACCACGTGTTCAAATACCAAAGCTGATGGGGGTATTTCTTCCTCCAAACCACCACAGCCCAGCAAATTAACACATAAACATAGACACATGTATGCATATGTATAGAGAACCATATGTGTGTGTGCTTTATATGAGATTTCACATGTAGGGAAAACAATATATGAAAAATCTCCAAAGAACAAACATGCTATCACCAAGCTCCATCCTCAGTCCTATGTATGTATGTGTGTGTGTGTGTGGTGTGTGTGAGTGTGTGTATATGTGTGTATCTACATGAGTGTATGTGTGTCTGTGTGTGTATATGTGTGTGTCTACATGAGTGTGTGTGTGCATTTGTGTGTGTGTATCTACATGAGTGTATGCCACATGTGTCTCAGAATACCTGAAGAGACCAAAAGAGGGTGTCAAATCCCCTGGTGTTGGAGTTAACAGGCAGTTGTGAGCCACCCAACATGAGTGCTGGGAATCACACTTGGGTCCTCTGGACAAAGAGGAAAGGCTCTTAACCACTGAGCCATTTCTCCAGCCCAGCTGTTGGGTTTTTTTGTTTGTTTGTTTGTTTGTTTGTTTTCCGACAGGGTCTCACTATTGTAGCCCAGACCAAAAAAAAAAAAAAAAAATCCTGTTACTCCTCTATCTTCAGTGTTAGGACTATAGGCATGCACACCACTGAACCTGGGGTAATCCCACTGGTTGACAAGAAGACTACTAGCATAATTTTTGAGACAGATTTGAAGCAAGCTTTAACTAAATACTGGCCAGGATGATGGCCCCTAGCTGGGTCCATTCCAAGGTTCCCAGAAAATGGCCATGAGCCACATTGGCCAGGTTCTTATTATAAAGGCAAACAGACAAGGTTACATCCTTCCCGCCTTTGTCCAATCAGGGGCAAGCATACATCCTAATACCCTTCCTGAGGTACATCCTATGTACCTCCCACCTCCATGTGATAAAACATTTCCGGTGCAGTTGGGTGATAAACCAAATTTGTTTAGGGAAGTGAAAACAAGTGGCTTGTTATCTTATATGAACAGCCTTTGGCATGGTCCTTGGGCAAAGGGCTTACAGATTAGAAGCATTTTTGTTTTATGGATCTCTTAGGCACAGTAATTAAAACTCAAAACATACCTTTGGCTCTCACACCCAACCTCAATCAAGGTTTTTTGTTTTTTTTGTTTTTTTTGTTTTTTTCGGTTTTCGAGACAGGGTTTCTCTGTGGCTTTTGGAGGCTGTCCTGAAACTAGCTCTTGTCGACCAGGCTGGTCTCGAACTCACAGAGATCCGCCTGCCTCTGCCTCCCGAGTGCTGGGGTTAAAGGCGTGCGCCATCACCGCCCGGCAGATCAAGTGTTTTTATATAGGCAGGTTTATTAGTATTTTCCTTTGTCTTGCTTAGGGAGGTCTTCCAACCGGAAACAAAAAAGTCCTCGATTTATTTTAAAGTTTTTGTAATTTTAATATTTGATCTGGAAATTTTGGTTTAAAGAGGGTGGAATTTGCCGGGCAGTGGAGGCGCGGGCCTTTAAATCATCCCAGCACTCGGGAGGCAGAGGAAGACAGATCTCTGTGAGTTCGAGACCACCCTGGTCTACAAGAGCTAGTTCCAGGACAGCCTCCAAAGCCACAGCCCAAAAAAAACCCTGCAAAAAAAAAAAAAAAAAAAAAAAAAAAAAAAAACAGGGCGGAATTTCCCTTTCTTCCCCAGCGGACACACACACAGTTCGTTCATAATTCCCACCTTCCCCTCCATACACATTTTTCATCACGTTCTACCTGTTTCTCTGTTGAATTTTGACCTTTCTGTGAACCATAGGACTTAGTCTGGTCAGTAATCAAGCCACTTATGGCTTGTTTGAAAGAACCACTTTCCACCTGACCATTTTCTGTGGTTCCTTTTCAAGTCTGTGCCGAGAAACTGTTAGAGGAAGTAGGCCACTCAGTAAGGGTTTACCTCATTTGACTTCTGGCAATTCGGAGGCGAGGGGCACAGGGAAGCGACCGTCTTTGTTAATTTAGGCAATGTTTACCTCCAGGGCTGGCTGGTTTCCTTAATCCCATCCTACCCACTCAAGTTTTCCCTAAATTGAGGTGACACCACACACCGCCCTGCCTCCGCCTGCGGCACCCACTTGCACCTCCTAGGCTACAAGCTGAGCGCACAGGGAAATGGCGGGGACCGTGAACCGCTACCGAGACACCGCGGCCGAGGTTTGGGGGCCAAGGCATGCACTACAGAGAAAGCGACCATCCTGCGAGGGCTGCTCGCCTGAGCAATCTCATCTGCGCCCGCCAGAAGGCGCCGGCGCTCGCCTCCCCCCTGCAGAG